GTGCTCTCCTGCTGCTGCATGCACCCTGGGGGAGGAATGAAGGGGGCATGTGTCCCCCAGATATGTGTGTGAGGCCAGGGTGTGCTGCGCATCATGCACTTGGGGCCAGGGGTGGCACCAGGCTCTTCCAGGTGGGGGCTGAGCCTGAGCTATGCTGGGGACGGTGCTGGGAGGAGGGCCTATGGGGGGTTGTGGCAAATTTTGGGGTGGCTGTAGCCCACCCCATAGCTGCTCAGTCTCCACCAGGAACAGACTGGCACAGCCTCTGGCCCCAAGCATGCAGTGGACAGCCCACCCTTGCCCTGCATGCAGATCCCTGGGGCACATGCCCCCCATGTCTCCCCTGGGGTATGTGCAGCCAGCCAGATGCTGCTTTCCAAGCTGCTGGGCTACATATCAGCAATTGGATTAGTATTGGCTGATTATGGCTGGTTAATTATTGGCCCAAAAATCTTTATTGGCACACCCCTAGTTCTCTAACCAACCTAAACGTTTTGTCATGCTCAAGGTTTTTAGCCTGGTTACGGTGCAATGCCTGCTAAAATGTAACTCGGTCCATCTCTTGTGGTCCTACTGCATTTACGTGGGTCTGCTATTGCCTTTACATTAATAAGCTGGGTACTTCAGATAAACTGTTAGAAGCTCTTGTTTTTTTTTTATATTGAGAGGTCCCTGGTTCAGTCTGTTTACAAGGCATGACTAAGGGTAGTACAGTAAAAAACTTAAGAGTTCAGAACTAGCATCAACACTAGATTCAACTCATGCCTTGGATACCTTGTTGACTTAGTATCACAATTTTTTTAACCAGTCATAGCAGAAGCAGTGGAGAAATGGAAACTGGAGAGAGAGGCACGACTTGCAAGAGGTGATAAAGAAGAGGAAGAGGAGGAAGAAAACATTTATGCTGTCAATGATGATGAGGTATGGTGTGGGAGACTATGAAAATTTGACAGCAATTGATGTTACTCCTGTATAGTAGCAGCATGCTTTGAGTATCTTCACTGGTCTTAAAAATATATTGGCTACTATAGTGTGTCCCTCCTTTGCACACCTTAGTGCAGTGGGGGCCAACCGTTTTGACAGGCATGCCACAAATTAATCACCGCACCCTCCCTAATTACCACTCAAATCCTCACCCCCTGACCTTTCTGCTGCTCTGCTTTCTGCTTCGTTCCCTATACGCTAGTGTACTGTCTGCCACCTTCCTGATCTGCTGCGTGCAATGTACAGGCTACCCATACCACTTGTGGCACCCGTGCTGTAGGTTGCCCCCCTCTTAGTGTATCATGGTACAACTAAATACTCAAATAGGACTTCTAACTCTTAAGTCAGATGTAGAATGTAATGAAAATTGACAACCTGAGAAGGCTTTTTCCCCTAGCTAGGATAAAAGTTACAACTAACTTTGAGTTTCCATTTGGGGTCAGCTGTTAGTAACTGGCTACTGACATAAATTCTTAATCTGTAAAATAAAATAACTGAAAAGTGAATGTTCTAAGCACAGGCCTATATGCTCTGTAGGTAGAATTTTCAATACAGTAGTATTTCACCTTATCTTATTGATACTGAATTACTCAAACTGGCTTCTGTGAATCACAGAAGAAAGATTAAGTTGGGGTTAAGGGCTGAGGGAACTGGTTGGATATCATGTTCCCTTCACAGTCCAGCAGGGAAGTGCATGTTGCTCCTCACAAGGCACAGACAGAAGTTACATTTGCCATGCAATCATCCCCTTGAAAACACTCTATAGCCATGCCCTAACAGAAGTACACAACTGCAGAGTGCTCTGATCACATGACAAATTAACCCTCACTGTCCAAGGGAGGGAACTTAGACTTGTGTTTGCCCAGCCTGTGGATTGCCCAGCCAGCTGGATTGCCCACCCTGCCTGCAAGGCGGCGGGGGAGGGGTTTCAATCCACCTGTTCCCCACTCCAGTGCAGGCTGGGCAAAGACCAACCTGAGCTTCCTCCCCTCCCTTCTCTTCACCCCCTCCCCCCCACATCCTGAGAGAGCACTGTAGCTGGGGTGGGGGCAGTACTAGGGGAAGAGGCTGCAACATACAGCATCTCTGGATCAGCTCCAGATTTGGAGCTTGATTCCCCATCCTCCTGACCCAACAGCTAATGTCTGTTGGGTGGGAGGGTTAGTTTAATTTGTGAAGTTGTCTGTGAAGTGCCATGAGTTAGACCAGGGAGCTGGACTTCTGTCTGTGCCTACAGTTACTGATGCCCTGCAGTAGAGTTATTTTGTCATCTCCTGTTAAGTCAGCAGTGCTGCAGGAGTATATTCTTATTGTTCTTGCATAGCTTGAGACCTCATGGGCTCTATCCCGTCTTCTCTGCCTGCATAAGCCCATCTAGTGAATGAGGGAAATAGTGACAGCTCTCAAGAGTGACCACTTTACAGAAGAGGAACCTGGCTGTCTTTGTAAAGCCCCTGTTCCCTGCCTGTGACAACTAGCTTTGCATTCTGCTGGCAGCCACTGATAGCCACAGGGCAACAATAAAAACATGGTCCTACATCTGTACACAGGGAGAAGAAGGGAAGGAGCAACCCAGTTTTAGGTCTTCAAATAGTGAGGTCTTGGTGATGTGGTGCTTGCCCATTGTTGCGTAGAATTAAGTGTTCCCTGTTTTGTCCGTGTTCCAGGCCTTTATTTACAAGCATAATTTGATTTCTCCCCTGTAAGTGCAGGTGGGTGCAATGTCCTGTTGATGTAAGCTAAAAAACAAACAGTTTTATATGATATTTTGTAGTCCGATGAGGAAAATGGCAAAGAAAAAGAAGGTGAAGAAGGCCAGCAGAAGTTTATTGCTCATGTCCCCGTGCCATCACAGCAAGAGGTAAGAAAAGAAAAAACAAAGGCACGTGAGAACACTGGCACTACTGTGATACAGGTTGTAAGTCATGGTAGATAGCCTATAGAAAGTGTTGTCTACTGGTTGTAGTACAAAACTGCCAGACAGATCAGCTGGGTTCTCTCCCTGACTGAACTTGCTGTGAGACCTTGGTTCAATTGCTTTACCTCCATTCACCTCTGTTCACTCATCTTCCTGAGTGGGGTACTGTGGCACAGAATGTTATTTGTACTTCTAGCTTTTCTTTCCTCTGAGATTCTACCTTTCTATAAGTTTGGGTTTTTTTCTTTGAAAATCTTTTTGGGTGTATTATTTAAAAAAGAGAGAGAGACCTAGTCTGCTATCTTTGACTCATCAAATTTGTGACGTTTTAATTTCTGGTTTTGCCCCCTGTAATAACTTTTAATTTTTGATTGCTTAGCTTGGTATCAAGTAGCCATTTTCCAAAACAGCCTTGGTTACATGAGCCTGAAATTGGTCGCTTCCTATTTTATTTTTGTAGCAATTTGCCTAGCAGTAATGTATCTACACATCACAGCAAAAATATGTGATTATATCATTTAAAATTATTTTTTTCTCTAGAGTTGGTAAATTATAAACAGGATACATAATATTATTTCATTCTAACAAGTTTCATCCTGGGAATTAAACTAATCTTGGGATACTATGAAAAGCTGTACATTTTTCAGAAGGAATGAGATGTTACTGACTTTTGTGAAGTTTCTAAAAATGATAGATAATGCTGCACACTAACTAAGATTGGGAACCTCTTAGGTTATAAAACATGATCCAATAACAAGCTCTTACCATAAGGATGCAAGTCAGTATAGCTAGAATTCCATTTACTTTGTGTTCAGTACTGTCATTTGTCTTTCACAAAGAATGTCTTTTAAAAAAATCAAATAATCATTCTAGTTGTAAAGCAAGAAGAATTGTAACTATAGAGCTACAGTCTTGGGATAAACACCGACCTTAAATTTTTCATTCTTTAGAAGGCTTTTGAGAGAGAGAAAATGTCGAGTCTTAAGTCCTGACAGTCTTTAATATATCATTGGATTTCTGAATAAAGTTTTGTATAACACTAAAGGCTGGTTCAAGCCAATATTCAAGTTCTGAATAACTTGGATCCAGGTTTTGTTGTTAGAGGTTCTTTTCATTTCAAAAAGAAAAATGTTAGCATCTATTTGAGTATGGGTATGTAATAAGGTCAACTGAGGATGCTTAATCTGAAATTTGTTAGAAACATGACTTCAGTTGATTTTTGTTAAGACGAATTCTTAATTAAAAAATCTATTGTGGTGTGGATTTAGTCTACTTTAGAGCTGAAATGCTATTTGTGTATCAGGATCTTATTGAAAAGCCTTGTCATGGGAAATTAGCACATCCTAATTAATTTAATCCGATCAGAGTTCTGGACTAATCATATTTAATGTATAATAGAAAATGTTTTAGTCTCAGAAACTTTACATACTAAAGTACAGTGGCAGAGCACTGAAATCTTGAGTGCTCTCTCTCTCTGTCTCTGTGTCGGTCTCTCTCTCTCTGTCTGTCTCAATGGTGGCCTTTACACCGTTTTTATTTGGGCCTGATAAAAATGTGTCCTCCAGTTCTACTTGGATTAAGCAGATTTTTTTTTTAGTCCTCACTGGCTGCTTTTTTTCTGACTTTGTATCTGGAAGTTCTAGATTTCAGGGCCTGAATTGAAGGCTAAGTGTTTTAATGTTTTGTATTTACAGATTGAGGAAGCTCTTGTCCGGAGAAAGAAGATGGAGCTTCTTCAGAAGTATGCCAGTGAAACTCTTATGGCACAAAGTGAAGAAGCTAAAAGACTTCTAGGATTGTAGTATTTCTTCTCCTTGTATTTTTTAATCCTTCTTGAAGCAACAGTTTGACAGCATTCTGACAGGCTCTTTGATCTCTGTAGACTCAGGAAGCATGTTGTTACAGAAACGTAAACACCAAGACAAAAGTGGCCTTTCTTGCATCATATTCCTCAAAACATTCCTTTCTTTTAGTAGACAGTTCTGTAGGTTTGTCTTCCTATCTGTTCCAGCCTTGGGTTTTTCTCTGTTTCTAAAATGCCAGCTAAATTAAGTTGGTCTCCATCTTTTCCCTGCTTGCTTTTGGTGGCTTCTGTTCCTTTCTCCAACTTCCCATTTTTCTCATGCTCAATGCTGTAGTCACCTACTCCCTGGGTTGAACAACGTGTCAAAGTTTCCTCATGCTTCAGAAAGAAACACAAGTGATATGACCAGCAATCTGTCAGGCTTGTTCTCAATTAGTAGAGTAGTCTGCTGCCTGTTAGAGATGGAGACCAATAGCAGTTTCCATGGAAATTTCATAAAAAATCAAAATCTAAAATTATGAAGAATTAAGTATGTTTCTCTGCTCAAACTGCTGTTTTTTTATAGCCTGCCTAAAGCTCTTATCCATGAATGGCTTGTAATGGTGCTTGGTTGGATTGCTCAGGTGCTGGATATTTCAGCAACTACTGTAAATATACTTCTCTTTTGTAACGTGTTCAGAATTTCTTAGTAAAACATTTATACAAACTGACTTCTTTCTTTATTTTTTCAAGTGGGTTCCAAGAACTGTGCCCTTTTCATAATGATAACTGGAGAATGGAAATAATAAGTAGCCTGTTGTTTAAGGGGTTTGATGTGCGTGTCCCCAGGTGCTCTCTTAGCTGTTGTATTATGGGACAAGAGAAGTCAGAGCTACTCAAACTATTTTGAATTTTAAAGATACTAAAACTAATACTGTGAGTTGTACAGATGTGAATGGCAAGTAATTTGAAATCACTGTTTAAGAAACAGATGCTGTCTGCAGGGAGGTATGAAACAAGTAGGTAAGGAAATTCAGTTTCTGCAGGAAGCTACTTCCAGGATCCACTGTACTGGACATGAGATGTCCTAATCTAAAACTGAGTACGATGAGAACTTGAGGACTTCACTCACGTCTTCATAGTATTGGTTGCATCGTCAACTTGGTTTAGTCAATGGAGTTCCATGCTTTTTGACAATAGAACAGAAATTCTTAATGGAATATGTGATACAAAGTATAATGTCTCTCACCATATACTTTGCAATTATGTTTATAGCAGGATAAAGCAAATAGGAGGAACAGGAAAAAGGAAAGACTTTTTAGAAGAAATTTGAAAATGAGAAGAAATACCAGTTACAGGAAAAGACTATTTTCACTTGGTAACTAAAGAAAACATTTGAATTATAAAATATTACTTTTTTAGACTGTGTTTTTCATTTAGCTTCTTTTCTAATTGGGTACATTTGACTGACTGCAGGCTCATGACCAAGATTTGAGTCAATCAGCTTAACAAGATTTAATTTCCTCCTCCCTTTCATCTGCAAAGAACATTGGTGGAGAATTCATGGGAATGTTATAGAAGGGGAACAATGAGTGAAAGACAACAGCATATACTGTTTAACATTCAAGAATAAATCTGTTTTCCCACATAAACTTTAAAAGCTGTCTCAGGCCTTTGTCCCACTTTTGCTTTTGAGGCTTAGTTTCAGCAGGTTTATGCAAAAAATCTTGTATTAACATTATCCCAGACTAGAATTGTGGGGTGGCATACCAAGGTTCATGCTTTAAAGGGGCTTAGGAGGTTTAGAAAAGCTGCAAATACTTTATTGGTCCATCCCTCAGAAGCATGTTACTGTTCAATAATTAGGGAATGCAACTATTGCACCTAGGTAGCTAAGTATGCTATAGGAAGGATATAGCTCTTAAACAATGGTTCTCTCTCTTCTGTGTTAGGGTCTTTTCTCCAATTAGCAACATAAATAGTACAGGGTGCATCTGACATTCTCCTTTAGTCCCTGTTTGATACTTGGGAAATGGGATCACAAGGAGACCCCAAGGGCTGGAGGGTCATTGCGGGGTGATTTCACTTGCCCCAGGGGTGTGGGGAAACCCCCAGGCCAGAGGATTTCCATGATCCTTGCCCAGGGGTTTCCTGTATGCTTGAGCCCTAGGGTTTGCAGCTGCCATGATTGCCAGGGTCTGGTGAGCTTTCACACGAACTCTCAAGCCCTAGGGATTGTGGCTGCTGTGATCTGTAGGCCTCAGGGGTTTTACACTGGACATGGTGTACCTCTGCAACTGGGACCACTGTCAGTTACTGGGGCTCCCAGCCACAGGTGAGACCCTGCTACACCTGCAAATGGAAGCTCAATAGCAACCAGTTAGTATACATTTTCAAGGTGAAACTAGCTGGTTGGAGATTGTTATTGTGATAGATATTTTGCATATGTAGCTGGTCTCCAGGTAATTGTGCAATTAACTGGTTAATTGCACAACACCTGTAACATGCAGAGGGGAGCTTTGTTATGTTGCATTCATTTTTTTGCTTAGTATCCTTATCTCTTGAGGCTTTCTTCTTTGCTTTGCTGTTGGGCACCCCTCAAATGCTTTCTCAGCAAGTCATCTTTAATGTATGCGAACTTCCAATACATTGTTCCCAAGCTTCCTACCATAACGCATCCTTGGTTAACAAGAACAAATCACAGTATTCTAATCGGAAATAGGCCTTTCTGTTAAATTCTTGCTAGTTGTTTCCCTTATTAGTTTATTTCCTAGTAGCATTGAATCAACTTGCGGGAAGGACTGACTCAAGGAAAAATAAGGGGCTATCTTCTCCCAAATAATATTGAGCCACAATTGGGTTCAGGTAGTTAAGTAATATGGGAGCAGCATGCAGTAATGCTATCAGTCGTTGGCAGCAGCAGAGAATTGTCAATACTAGTTCTCAGATACTAGTATGCTGAAAAGAAAACAGTGACCAAAGGCTCTTGCCGGCATAGACTGCAATCCTGTAGGCCACTGCCTCCTAGATCTAGGATTTGAAACCTGAAGCAAATTCACCTGCCTCCCCAGATGTATTTCTGATTATTCACAATAGGTTTACGCTTCATTTCCCCCCACCTACTCTGCTGAGTAGTTCTATTTAAAGCCAATGGAATTATAATACAAAATGTTTCTAGACCAGGTCATCTACTTGCTTTTTCTTGGTTAAGAACATTTTTTGTTCTGCTTTGATTATCAACAGCTGCAGGCAATCTGGTTTCAGCTTTGTGCTCTAGAATAATTGCAGTGCACACCTGGGAAATAAAATCCATTAAAATGGTGTTTGACTTTTTAATTAGATAGAATTACATTAGTGTCAGTCATGAGGTACAGCCATGCATTAATGCTAACATCAAAACTTGGGGTCAGTCTACTCTTGTTTAATAAGACAAACAAGCATACAGTATTCTTAAGTTTACTCTGGCAGGGAAACTTCCTCAAAGCTATTTCCCACCTGAATTTTAAGTCTGAGGCAAATAGTAATCTGAGACACTATCTTCTTCCATGTACAGCTAACTTCCTTTTTGCGTTAGTAGTATTCTTTCTTCTGTTTGTGTGTTTATACACACGTGCATATTAAACTGTCTCACCTAATTTGTGGTCAGCTCTGTTCTACTGTTAAGTCCTTGTCCATTTAAGTTGTTCTAAGAATAGATTTCCCCTTGTTCTGAAGATATGAGTAAGCATCCCACTAGTCTTCACTCAAGAACTTCATCATCATCATAATTATATTAATAAGGAGATCTTGAGGTCCTCAATATGATTACCCTTGTTTTCAGTTATTTGGTGTTTGGCTTGCCAGACATTCCTTACCTGCAGTATCCTCCACTCATCTGCATTTAGTATGACGCCCATTAATATCATGACTTACTTTCTGCATTAATCTTACACAATAGCTTGGGTTATATTTATCATGCTAGAGCCATAAATGCCATGCCAGCATGCACTTCAGCTTTCTTCTTTTTTCTCTGCCATAACATCTACCTGTAATGTACTCTAACCACAAGCAGGACTACGGACCCCTGTCTAGATTTCCTATTATCTACTGCACTGCCTACTAGCTATTCTCGCTTCTTACTGTTTATTCCATGCTCTGAATTTTTCACTTCTTTATCTTCAAATCACTGCTTAGTTTTTCTATTCACTCAACTTGAGTACTTTCCTATTATCAACGTGCTTCCCTCACTCTTCACATTTCCATCTGGCCCACTTCAAACTAATAGCCCAGCATCATAGTCTTACCCAAACTTGTCCCTAGTACCTTTCTTTTAGGCCTGTGTGAAGCGGATAGTATTGGCTTCTGTTTGGATTCGGCAGATTCGGGGGGCAGTGATTCAATCTGCTGATTTGAATCACTGTCCCAAATCGATTCAGCCAAATCTGATTTGGAGATTTGGCTGCATCTCTGAATCAAACAGTACTCATCCCCCACCCAGCCCCAACATTCCAGCACTTTTAAAAAAAAAACCCAAAAAAACCTGCACTCACTGGCTTCTGCCAGGCAGTGGGGGTGATCCCTGCTGCCCTGCTTTGCATGGTGGGGCTCTGCCATGAGCCCCCAGAGGCTCTAACAGCCACTGCAGCATCTGGTGAGTGCAGGGCTTTTTCTTTCTTTTTTTTAAGTGCTGGGATGCTGGGGCCAGGCAGGGCAGCCATTGATGGGGCTGGGAGAGTGGTCAGGGGGCGCTTGGGGGACCTGAGGGAGCAGGCAGGGGATGGGGCCTGGCAGAGGGAGCCCATGGTCCCCTTCCCCCTTCTCCAGCCTTCCCCCTCCCCACCCCGTACTGGCACAGAGCCTGGGTCCAGCTCCCTATAGCAGCAGGCGGGAACTCTCCGAATAGAATCGGCAACCAAAGCTTCACACAGCCCTACTTTCTTACCCTATTCTCTACCACTGCCGTCTTCTCATCATTGCCTCATTTGTTATCCCTATCTTCATCACGACTGTGCTGCAACAGTCTTAACCCAGGGCCTGGAGTGTGTATTTGGTGAAAACAGATTTGTCTTTCTTATTTATGCCTTTCTATATAAAGAAAATTGTTTGTTATGTTAATGATAGATAATCATAATCCTGAAAAGTATGTAAACAGGCTATGAATGGCTGAATTAATTTAAAAAATGTGTTGTTGTTTAGGGGTGGTAGATAATTTTATGACCAATATTTTGTGCCCATGCCAAACTTTTGATGGCATCTTTTCACCAGCAAGTGATGGTGGATGTTGCAGCTATTCTATTGACTGGTGGTACATTTTCTCTTGTGGCTGTAAAGATTTGTTAGACTTGCAGTTCCAGCCACAGTGGTCACAGATGTATATGTCATTAAGGGCTACTGTACTAACAGGCAGTTTCCTTTGGTCATGTTTCTGTTGTAGTTTGAGTGACCATTTCTCATTATGATGTTGGACTCCATGACTGAGAAAAGAGTGCCACTTTGTCCTGTCTCTAGGGCGGTCATCATAGAGGACATTCCGGTTTTCTGCTACTCTGTACTCTATTGATATGAAACCCGACACCCTCCTGTCCTTTATTTTTCTCTTCAAGAGAGCAATAGAGGACATAAAGACATCCAGTTTCGTATCAGTAGAGGACAGAGGACAACCAGACTGTCTTCTATGATGGCCACCCTACCTGTCTTCTGCTAAGGCCTCCCAAAGGTTTGGGTCAATTCCCAAAGGTTTGGGTTGTTTCCAAAAGCCTGCATATCTTGCTTGCAGACATCTTAGAAGTGCAATTTTGGGCACCTTGCTCCTCATCTGCAGGATTTGCTCATACAGGATGTCCTTTGGGATGCGCCTATCTTCCATGCTGCAAAGATGGCCAAGCCAGTGTAGGTACCTCTGTTTGAGTAGTGCAGTGATGGTTGGCAGGTTGGTTCAGCAATGATCTCTGCGTTGGTGATTCGGTTTTGCTGCTTGATATTGAGGACAAGCTATAAACAGCATAGGTGGAAACTGTCCAGAATCTTTTCTTGATATGCATATGTTGACCATGTCTCTCTGTTGTACATAAGGACACAAGCTTTGTACACAAGCAGCTTAGTTTTGACTGTGAGTTTTGTCTTGTTCCAGGCTAATTTGGAGAGCTCACTGAAAGTGGGCTACCTGCTTTTCCAATGTGCACATTTTGCTTTTTA